AGGATATTATGCGAGACAGTGTCAAAAGCTTTGCTAAAGTCAGTCATTTCACCCCTGCTAGCCCACTGCAACAGGCTATCATAACAGGCTAACTAGAATGATAATTAATTTCTACTAATCAGTACAAACCATTTCACTCAATATTAGCCAAATCCCAACCTAATTACTGAATGTATCCAGTAATAATGAACACTTCTGAGCTCTAGAGCTACAAAATATAGGAAGAAAAAACAACTTTCTCACTTATAACGAAAATGTTGTTTTCATATAGTACAATTCACTTGCTTGCTGTATGCATAGATCGTTTTCCAAACACCCATGCTCAGATCAGTCCCTACCTCCCTAGTCACCAGAGGAAGGCAAACACTGCTGATGGTTCAGGTCTGAGCAGCCTCTCTCTCCCCTTCTGATGGAGATATGGAGATTAATTCCTTAACTTAGCAGCCGCTTCAGTTAAAGCTCAAAACATCACAGGATGAATCTGGGATCCAGTGTGCACAGTACATCTTTGTTTTCCAACCCCGAGCATTTCAATGCCAAAATAAAAGGCTTTCATATCTGTATCTCTGAATTGTCAAATACATTTTTTTCCAAGACTCCTTTATAGTACCTTTTCCGCATTAACTCTGTAAATGGGGTCACTACATTCGTCCTCTTCACTCATTGACACTGTATCCAGTTTCTTTTTCAGTAAAGGTGGAAACCTGGCATCCTTGCTTAACAAACTTTTAATAAACCTCCCAATATTTTAGGACCGAAAGATATCACTGTAAAAGAGATAGCAATACTTATCCTGACCAATGTAAATTACATCCACCATTATGTGTAAATTATGTTAATATCTCTTAATACAAAGTATATAAAAATCAGTCTATGTCTTTATATTGCTCTAACACATTTCTATATCCAGCAAGTCAAATCCAGTCTCAGCCATATGCTGCTACAGTCTTTTACTGTCTGTTCCAATGAGAGATGGTATGTAAACTAGAAAAATAACCAGCCCGCAAAACATAAGTGATGGATGGTTTCCTGGTGTGGTTCACAGGTTTCAGTTCACAATCAGTAATTTGCTCATTTATCCCTCTACAGATGTCAACTCATTTACTATCATTATCAAGCCTGTACCATTTTGTCATTCTTCTATTTCTGCCCCAATTGCTCAGTCCTGTAAGAGTGAATCAGAATCCAGCTGAATATTGACACTTCTTTCATAGGTGTTTCTAAAGATTTCTATAAGGAAATTACGGTCTTCAGGACCTTCTCTGGAAGGCTTTCTCTCCTCTCTCTCCACTCAGAGCTGTGGAAAGTGGGCATGAGGATGGGACATGCATGTGAGGATTGCTAGGATACTTGGCATCATCTCTCTAGTGCATGTCAACTAGAAAAAAGTTGTATTCTACCTCTGATGGAAATTATTAAGCTAATGAAAACCTCATTGCATGCACTGGGCACTGTGAAGTTATTACTTGCTGTTTACAGCTGTCTGTTCTGATGTTGGAGGAGAAGTTTATCATATTTTCCTACCACAACAGCTTCTTTTGCTGATAGACAAGATCTCCAAGATAGTGAGATAGTACTCCTTTCTCTTTCTCCTGAACAATTATCAGTAGTTCCCAGGATTAGAGGTATAAGGCTGGATAGACTGAGGGGAAAAATAACTTTTGCTTCTTTATTCTTACACAATAACTAAGTTGTTTACCATGAAAAGGTTCCATTGCTATTTCAAAATCCAGGAAAATCATTAACTATTATTTCAATGGTATTTCTATGCAGAAAATAACAAACAGCTTTCAGTAAAGCCAGGTTTCCACTGTATTTTCAAAGCAGTTCTCTCAGCTCAGTCTTTTAAAAAAGAAAGGTCATTAATCATTCACTCACTGTTTCCTCTAGGAAAAGTACAGCATTGCAGGATCCCAAGAAACATCAGATGTGCAGACAAAACATAAAATCATCTTAGGGGCATATCTCAGGGTACACCTACACCTCCTTATAACATATTCCATAAATTCCCTTGGAACTTAGGGGGAAATCTAGAAAATTGACCTTTCATGGAGAGAGGGAAATATCAAGGACTTAACATTTACAACTAGTTCTGACTTTCCTGGCCTACTAGAAACGCCTCCACATTTCCCTGTTCACCTTCAGAGTCTAGGGGAAAGTCAATCCATACCGCTGAGTGCTGGGTGTTGCACTGAGTTCCTCCAGCTGTCCAAACAAAATAAATATCACACAGCCCCATGTCCTACAGAGATACTAGCCTATCAACTGAAAGTAGGATGGCAGCAGCACTGTACGAGCTGATCAGTCTAAGAAGAGGTAGAAACCTGTACTGGACTGCTATGCTTACTATAGCTATGCCACCCCAGCTCTGGAGCTCGTCTCTTCAGAGCTCAGTTGGGCACCTCCACACAACACCACACTGCATGGGGCAGATACAGCCCTGGGGTCTCCTTCTTCTCATAAAATCCCATCCACATAGCTTTCTATTGGTACAAGATTGTTCAAAGAAAATGATGTTGGTGGTGGTTTCCAAGTTGGCTGAGGAGTTATCTAATTGACTAAAATGCCTTACAGCCAGTTGGGCTGAGACAATCAAGTGTTTGGTTGGTGAGCATGTGTTGCTCTTTATATCACAGAATCACAAAAGGGAACTGAAGCAATTTCTTATCATGTGGTCTCATTTCCCTAAATCTACGAACAGCTCTCATTTAAAAAAAACAAAAGAGTTATGGAAACAGTAGTGTCCTGGTTGAAGGTTTTCTTTTTACATCTCTAGTTTCCACTAATCATTACACTTTGGAGCATAGCCCTGTAGAAAGTTTAATTTGTTCTGCTTTGCTTCAGTGATGGAGAGATGTATAAAGGCCATTGCAAATTAAATTTATCCAAATGTCTCCCATTTGGACGTCTCACCGGAAACCAGGAGTGAATTCTAGTGCTTCGCAGCTCTGGTCATGCAGAAAATACTCTGTGAATATATAGTGTTTTGGCACTTTTTCGTAACTCTGGTCACAAGCCAAGAGTAGGAACGGCAGAAGCATACATTTTTCAAATTTTATTTCAGTCAGTTGAATGGCTTTTAATCCCAGAACCAGCTCAGACTGAAACAGGTTCAAGTTTGCAGCAAGCTGTTCAGATTGCCATTTTCGCTAAGTTTAATAGCTCAACTGCTTTGATTTAACCAGTTTCATGAATAAAGAAAAGTCAAAGATCTGCTCCCTTCTCCTTTCGCCCTGACAAAGCACTTGAAGAAAACTGGACATCATGCCCAGGTAGGTCTGAAATCTGCTATAACACTGAGATAACCATACCTTTAGAATAAAAATCTCTGTAAAGATCTGAACAAAGAAGCTTACATACAACTAAATATTGGAAAAAGTTAGGATCTGGGTCAAGTTCCAGACCTGGTCTTGCTCAGAAGCAATGCGCCTCAAGCAGGAACTCACTTGCACATGCAGGTCTTCCTCTGCTTACTCGTGTCCCTGGCACCTCTTCTCCATTGTCAAAGACACACCAGCAGCTCTCTTGATCCTGGCTGCACTGCACAGGTGAGAAAGTCCCGTTGTCCCCTTCACACTGTGGGATGTAGCCTTTGCCAGCTTCTTGTAAACCAGTTTTAGACTTCAGAATTTTACAGAAACTAGGACCTTTAAAGAGAGAAATTCATTGCAAGGTACAGAGCAGAAGACAACAAACTGATCATCTGCAGAAATGAACCATACTAATGTACAGAATTGTCCTAAACAGCAGTTCTTTTAGCCTGTTTTTGCATAAGGAAGGTGAGTGTTCATGAAACTATAATTTGAATCACCATAGGAATGTGAAACTTTACTTCCACTAGAAAAAATACTTCTTTTTCCCTAGAGATTAAAGTGTAGTTTATATGGGTTTGCATCAATAAAATAGTAGAAAAAATACTGATACTTATTTTGTATTAACATTTTTTTGCCATAAATTTTATAGTGTATCATATAGATGCTGATATTTTAATTTTAAAAAAATCAAATTAATCTTTTTAATAAGAATTTTTGAGTGAGGTAATTTTAAGTGTAACAATACAATTATTTAAATTTTAAAATAGTCAAAATGTCCCAATTTAATACTTTCAAAACTGGGAAAAAACCAACCATGGAACAGCAATATTTATGGTCTCCCACAAACAAACAAAATGGACATGAGCATGTGGAACAAACCCCTGACAAGAAGATCCAAAAAGTTCAGTCCAAATTTGAGACAAAGTTGGCTCTTACTAATTTTGTTCATCTGCTTGTAAACCTGTTTAATGAACAATTACACAACTAATTCCTCAGTGAACGTGCAGTTATTTATCCCCTATCAGGCCTGTTGCTGATCTTCATGGACTTCTAGCATTAGCCCATATTTTAGCCCAAAAGAAAGCAGACTTGCTGTGTCAGATGAAAGTACTATCTAACTCACTATCATCTCCTGAGTAATTATCTACTCTGTTACTGACGTTTCAGGAGGTTTGCCTGAAGCCAGCAGATTATGCTCCCAAATTTTCTATGGGACATGGGAAACAGAAAATCACTAGCTATAGAACTGAAGAAACAAGCACAGCGGAACTGTAGGCTCTTGGGCTGCCTGTATTGCTCAGAAGAGCAGAGCCAGTGCACGGGCTCCAATATATCATCCCAATTCCTACAAGCAGAGATTCTTCAACTTTTTGGATCAACCGTCTCCTATTAGACCTCAACAGTCCTCTGTCTTTATTTGAAAACAATATAGAGGTATTATAGACCTAATTGCATTCCATGGAGCAGTTGTGGATCATGTAAAATGGACTCACTGACTGCACATGGCCCAGTTCTCACAGTTCAGGATTCACTGCCTTAGAAAACTCACCCACAAGCCCAAAGAATTTTCTATGGTGGTAAGAAATGGAAGGTAAAAAGATGCATAGAAGCCTGTTCATCAGTTTGTCTAGACTGGTTTATTTCTGGTATTACAAAAGTAAAGGATAACTATCTTCAGATACCCTTTCAATGTTGGTGCACTTGTATGTACCATACCACTGAGGAATTAAATTGTAAGCCCCCTGTGTTTCATGGGCATCATTCTGAAAGGGAAAGTACATATGCTGCAAAGCATGAGGCATTGCCACTAGCGTCACAGGCTGTGGGTAAAGCATTACTCACACTCAGGATTGCCATCCAAATCTTTGCTGCCACGCTGAAATACTTCTCCTGACACAGGATCTACACACCAAATATCTGTGCCGGATCTCTGTAGCACAGCGTATTCTCCTGTCTACAAAGAATCAATTACATGTCATTGCAGAGCAATGTATATTAATACAGACACACCACAAGCCATACCCCAAAGTTTGATTAAAATATTTGATTATATTCACATTTGTCCATTAATTCAAAACATTGAAAAGAAACACAAAATATTAAAATACAGTCTACCTAATCTAATACACAGACCAGGCCCTGAGAGAAGCAATATGCAGACTGTAAGCCCATTGAGATAAAGTTCTGGTATAATCTTGGTTTGAAATGTCTGTTTCTTGCCCATTGCAGGGCTCTATCCTGCTCACTACCATGTTTGAAAGCATCACAGACCCTGTTTTGGGATACCTGCATCCAACTCCCTCTCATCCTGACGTTCTCTGACAGCTCAGGAAGAGCCCCCCAAATGTCAGTCAATTAAGCTGTGTCTGTTAAGCATAGTCCTGCAAAAGGACTAGGCAGAGCCACCCTGTAGGAGGGCAGCATAGGCAGGGACAGAGCTTCCTATTCCCCGTCTTCATCTCAAAACTATATCAATTCTGTTTTATGAAGGGCAATGCCTGCTTTTTTTTTTTTTGCCTTACTCTTTTCTTTCAGGTTAACAGGAATGCACAAGGGATGCTTAAGGAGCATAGACTGAAACTGTACAGGCCTTTGGCATGGCGTAAGAAAAACCAAGGAGGTTTTGTTTCTTCCTCCCTGAGTCATGTTAAATCACCTCAAGGCAGTAGGGGATGAAAAGATCAGCTG